GGCCCTGCCCCCCCATTTGAGGACTTACGCTGCTCGAGGCAGCCGAGTCCCTGCACGTACCTCGGAAACACAACTGGCTTCTGAGCCGCGCTGGGCGGCCGCTTCTTCAGCCCAGGAGAGCCGGGCCCAGAGGGGGGTAACAGCCCCCCCCAGCAGAGCAGCACAGAGGCTGAACCAGCTCAGATCAGGGAGGGCTCAGCTACAAGGCTGATGACAGCCCCCCAGGAGCTCAGCCGTCCGTCCCCCTCAGAGAAACTTTTGCCCAGAGGAAGCTCATAAGCTCCTCCCCCTTTATCAATGAGAGACACAGGGTGGTTCCCCCCTCCCCAGGTACCCTGAGCATGATCATAAACAAAAAGGGTTTTATTAAGTATCAAATACGGGATTTAACGCCTTGCAAGTGAAAGCAGATGGGAGTGAGTCACTGAGCCAAAACAAACAAAACTCTAATCCACTAACCCTAATCCACTAAGTGGGTTTTACATGCAAAGTCTGTGCCTCACCTTTGTTCCCTATTACATGGAAAACGCTTCTGGGAAAAGCTGGCATTTATTCTGTCTGGCCCGGGCTGACAGCTCTCTGATCTTTAGAGTTCCTTGCTTTCAGGTTTCTTCATGTGTCTCCTCTTACAAAGGGGAAGCAGTTTCAAAAGCCAGGTGAAGACCCAAAAAAGCCAGATTGCTTTCTGTTCCTCCAACTGACTTTCCCCCAGGATGGGAACCCTTTGTTTAGATTCCCTGTGCCCATGGAAAAATACCAGATTCAAGATGGAGTCCAGCCCCAGGTGTTCTCGTCACATGTCTTTCTAGGACCAACCACAGTTTGGGCTCTCAGGAGAAACAAACCCATTCACAGGTCGTTGACAACCTGTGGAACTCCTTGCCAGAGGATGTTGTGAAGACCAGGACGTTAACAGATAAATTCATGGAGGGTCCATGAATACTACTTAACCAGGCCGGGCAGGGATGGTGTCCCTTGCCCTCTGGTTGTCAGGGGCTGGAAATGGCTGACAGGGAGGGATCACTAGTTGATTCCCTGTTTCTGTTCACTCCCTTTTGGGCACCTGGTTTTGGCTGCTGTGGGCAGACAGGACACGGGGCTGGATGCACCTTTGGTCTGACCCAGTCTGATGTTCTTATGTAGCGCAAACGCATTCTCTCGCTGTACGTGGGCTAAGTGCCAGTCGCGCTCACCCAGGAGGCGTGTGGGTTACACACACACACAGGACACGCAGGTTCAGTGGACAACAACTTTGACAAGGACAAGTCCCGTGATGTCGTTCGCACAGGGCCTCTTGGAGCTATGCGCATGCATATTCATAAGCCAGGATGCTTCTGTCCACTGGCTCGTTAGTGAGGGCGAGCTGGATGCGGGTCGTGGGGGAAGAGCTGAGCTCTTCCTCGACCCGGCAGGGAATCCGTCCGGCCTCCCGGGATGCTTAGAACTTTTCACCGCCCACATTCACCAATCCACGCTGGTGGGCGTGGTTTGTTCCATGGCTGCACCTCCTTCACCGAGTTGGTGCCGTTTTAGACGGTGAATACCGTTGTAGCTCATCCTCCCCATGTTTGACTTGGCTGGCTGGGGGTGACGGGGTGCAGCTGGGGGGGGACTGTGGGACCGCGCCTCCCGGGATGCTTAGAACTTTTCACCGCCCACATTCACCAATCCACGCTGGTGGGCGTGGTTTGTTCCATGGCTGCACCTCCTTCACCGAGTTGGTGCCGTTTTAGACGGTGAATACCGTTGTAGCTCATCCTCCCCATGTTTGACTTGGCTGGCTGGGGGTGACGGGGTGCAGCTGGGGGGGGACTGTGGGACCGCTGGGCCCCCTGCACTCTCCAGCAAAAAGCCTGGCGGGCCCAAGAGAGTTTAGTCGGGGTAGGGGAAGAGGCAGAACGCAGATTCCAGGTGGGAGGGGAGCTAACAGAAGGGCAGAAAGGAGAAATCCTAAACTTGTTAGACCGGTTCCCCCAGGTGCTAACCGATTCACCAGGGTACACGGAGCTGTCATGGCATCACATCCAGACCGAGCCCGGGTGTACCATTCGGGACCCGACGTCCCAGGGCAACTCTGCACGACTGTGTGGGCGCGTGATGAACAAGGGGGACCAGCACCATGCTCTGGGCGGCAGGTCCTCAGCCACGCCCCTTCTGCCCGAGGCTCCGCCCCTTTCTGGGGGCATGCAGTCTGTCCTGCAAATCCTCACCCCGGCTGTTTCTCAGCAAGCCCCGTGGCTCCCCCGTTCCCCCAAATATGGCCCTGCCCCGGCGACGGGAGGTGGGGGGGAGGACATACAGTTGTGAATGGCACCGGTACACCGCGTAAGAAATCTGTCGGTCAAAACACATTTCCTGACTCTCTTCCGTTGCCGGGCACCGAAATCCCTCAGCGTGGTGGAACCGGGCTCTTTGGACCCATCAAACACACAGCATCATAACACCTTGCGCCCCAGCTTTTTCTTTTTTGTTGTTGCTTGCGCCCTTTTTTAGTTCGGGCCCCGAATCCCGCCCCCCACCAGCGTAAACCCCTTTTGAGACGGGGCACCCCCCAGACGCAGCTGTTCCTCTCGCCCCACTAGGCCTGCCTGCTCAGAGCACCCGGGTTCCCCCTGGCAACCTGGGTCCTCTGAGAGTCTGGCTGAGTCGCAGGGGAGATGGGGGAGGAGGTAAGGCCGGGCCCGGGGGTCCCCGTGCTCTGCTTCACACCCTTCATCCACAGGATGGACAAGTCCAGGCAGGGCCGGTGGGCACGGTTTAGGGTGTCTCTGACAAGTTACTCATTGAATTATAGCTGCCTGTGTAGATAAATCTATGTATTATATATTGCTTCATATAAATCTATGTATTATATATTGCTTCATATGACTTGAAATTGTGCCTCTCCCATATAACCTTGAAACTTTGTATTAATCCATATAACCTTGTAACACCTAAATCCATAGAACCTTGTAACTTTGTATTAGCACCCTACATAGAAAACTTGCAGAAGAATAAGATTTCCCCCCCACTCTGGGTATGTCTACACTACCCTCCTATTTCGAACTGGTATACCGCAATTGCAAATGAAGCCCAGGATTTGAATTTCCCGGGCTTCATTTGCATAAGCCGGGTGCCGCCATTTTTAAGTGAAAGTATGTGTCCTTTAGTCTATTGGATCCAGGGATCGGATGATGGAGGCAAGTGAGAATATACGGAATTTGAGTTTCTGCAGATCTAGCCTGGGCCAAATTATTAGGCTTGACTTTTGGTATTAGGAAGTATTGGGAGTAAAAACCCTTGTCCCTGAATTTCTGAGGCACCTCCTTCACTGCTCCTGTAGCAAGGAACAACTGCACCTCCTGAACAAAAAGTTGCTCATGAGAAGGGTCCTGAAGAGGGACAGGGAAGCAGCGTGGAAGTGGGGAGGGTAGAGAACTGGATGAAATATCCCCTCTTTACTGTGCGAAGCACCCATTGGTGATGAAGGGTCATGCACAGTAGAAAGGGGATAATCAGGACAAAAAGGTAAGATGGGATGGATTCAAGACCAGGTGTGGAACACCATCCTCAACTGTGCCTTCAAAAGACTAGCTTAAACATAGATGAGGGCTTTGGTTGCCCTAAAGTCTGACTCAGGGGCTGACATGGTCTCCTGCTGCTGCTTCTGTTTGCCTTCTTGAGATTTTGGGTCAATTCTGTTGTTCTATACATTGAAGAGGTTGTGGCCTGAAATATCTCCTTTAGGTAGAAGGGTATGTAAAGACCCAGGAATCAGAAAAGTATCAGAGGGGTAGCTATCTTAGGGTATGTCTACACTACCCCTCATTCCATGAGGAGTACAGTTAGTTTGGATTAGAAGCCTAATCCAAACTAGCTACTCCGTGCCGCGTGTAGCCGCACGGCACGGGGTTCGAACTAGCTGGGATTTAAAAATGGCGGTGCCCGGCTTATGCAAATGAAGCCCGGGAAATTCAAATCCTGGGCTTCATTTGCAATTGCGGTATGCCTACATTACCCTCCTATTTCGAAATAGGAGGGTAGTGTAGACATACCCTCTCTTTCCCCCACTCTGTAATCAATTGCCCTGTTGAATGAATGAGGTGAGAATGAGTAAGACTTGGGAGCCAAGCCCCTCCAGACAGCTACACCAGTTGAAGAGGGGGTGGAAGCCAGAACCAAGGTGTCAAGTGGGCTGAAGAAAGGAGAGCAGACATATTGAGGGCCTTGGGGATTAGAAGCAGGAACCTTCTCTGGAAAACACCCTCTCTGCAGCACAAAGGGACCAAGGGACACAGACCCAGAGTTTGAATCTGGGATATATATGTGCATAGGAGAGGGATGCTATAAAAGTGAGGTGTCTTGCAGAGGACCCCGGGTTTAGTCTTGTCACCATCGGAGCATCGATCCGGGTCGGCAGAAGCCAGGCTCCACCCCTCCCCCATCTAACTCACCTGGCCAGTTAAGGGGAGCAACTTGTTGGTAACAACAGCAAGACGGCGTGTGCTTGTGTGTGTGTGTGTGTGTGAGTGCATGAGTGACATATATTTATATATATCATATGCATATGATAACTGTTAATTATTCTATGTGTGATCAATAAATGTGGCATGTTGCCTTATCCCCCTGAAAAAGATCCCGAGTACTTCTTTTAAGTACAACACCTGGCCGTAGGGAGGCTGCTGGTGTCTTTTGAGCATCCACCCAGGTGCTGGTAGCCTCCTTTGTTGTCTCTGGAGAGCTGGTATTTGGGTCCTTGCCAAACTCGCAGCCTGGTGCCGTGACAACCCTTGCACCCGGTTAATGTGGCATGTTGCCTTATCCCCCTGAAAAAGATCCCGAGTACTTCTTTTAAGTACAACACCTGGCCGTAGGGAGGCTGCTGGTGTCTTTTGAGCATCCACCCAGGTGCTGGTAGCCTCCTTTGTTGTCTCTGGAGAGCTGGTATTTGGGTCCTTGCCAAACTCGCAGCCTGGTGCCGTGACAACCCTTGCACCCGGTTCTCACCTGCATGCCGGTTCTTCCTGATGGGCAGCCGCTGCCGTGGGCCCCAGGCCAGGGAGGGTTCCCTGTAGGTTCTCCCCCTTCGCCCCAGGGGGAGGCTCTTCTGGTCAGCCCCAAACTGAGCCAGGCTGCTCTCTTTTATCCTCCCTCCAGGCCTGGCGTGGGCTGCAGTGGAGGGACCCTGCCTTGACAATAGGCGGTGATGTCTGCCTTAATCACAGTGTGGACCCCTATGTGACAAAGTGGGGGGGGCCCT